GGAAACACAGAATTTGGTAGTAAAGTGGTAAAAATATCACACACTGGGCCTTTAAGCTATAGCATACAGGAGATAACAGATCAATCCAGACAGTTGTGTTTATCTGTCTGCAAGTAAACACACACACTTCCTCATGTGCATCATAGACACCAGAGACCAACACAGGAGGAAACAACTTTTGATGATATGACAAATGGTTTGTATATTTTTAAGCCACAAAATATGTGTTTGCCTTATTTTACCAGACAATAGGAGGTGGTTTCAGTAGTCTTCAGAGACTACCAGAACATGTATGCCTGATTCTTTATTGTTTTAATTATATTTTCTATTGTTTCTGCTTTTAGATCCTTATAATTACTTGGTGATTTTTAAAAAATGACATGAATGTTGGTGTTTGTTAAGAGGAAGGGCACACATAGCCTGCTGATCCTGGTCCTCTAAGGCCGTTACCCGTTAAACTTGTAAAGGATTTAAAGCTGCAATGGCAAATCTGCAAAACAAAATCTAGCATAAAACATTTTTTCATGCCCGTTAACGACATTTTAACATAGTATGGCTCTGAATATATTGTAGAGATTAAAAATAAATAATGAAGTGATTTTCTCACAATTGTCAAAAAACCTCAGCCAATAACACAGCTCAGTTTGAAACCAACGACTGGACCATCCAGTTGTCTCTCTCACTAGAACTGCCACACATCCCTGGATCCACTCATTACACACTCGCACATTTAGCAGCGGAACACCACTGGTGTGAGAGGATCTCCGCTCAATATCAGAGAAGGAGAAACAGCCGACTGCTACCACTTCAACTTTAGGACAAACTATAGAGTCCCAAAAAGAAAAACACCAATAGAAGTCACGAACAACAAAAGACGTTTGAACCTAGAAAACAGTGACTTGTGTTTAATGCTATCTCGTTCATTCTGGAAATTTGTGCTCCGGTATCCCACGGACATGAGGGTACCCGCCAGGAGAGGTGAAAGTTCTACCACCATGCTCGTTTTGCAGATTTGCTGCAGCTTTACTGCCTGAATCTTCAGCATCGTCATCAGGTTCTGCAGAAGCTAGTCCAGCACTCAATAATTCAGATAATATTAATATAAACTCTAATATTGGACATAAAAAAGAAAGACATAAATTGACCTCCCAATTTAAGAGGCACTTCAATAAAGAGCACTAGGAAACAATTACCGGTCAATGGCTAACATTTCAACATAAAACACTGATTATTAGCATGAAAAGTACATCTTTGGTATAGGTTTGGGGGTTATTTTTTACCGTTTGGCTGTAATCCACGTACATATTGTTTAAAATACAAAGTGTGCGTTGCACCTTGGAGATTGCATGTTAAATACCAAAGTGTGATGCATTTGGTGAGACAAAATTTAGCTGAGTAAACTTATGTTGTAATCTTGTGACAAGAGAGGAGTTTCTTAGCAGAAGAATGATGATAAATATTTTTTTTAACTGAAACAGAAATGACTGAACAAAATAACCTCTCGAAAAATATGGGGATGTTTGAAAAGTTCAGTCATTATTATTATTATTAATTTATTTATTTTTACGAGGACACTGAAAGGAGTCTTGAGTTGCATCACTCTTATTTGCTACTAAGTTATTCACTAACAAGAAGATCTGGGTCAACGCCTGAGTTCAGACACATGACAGGACCGGGATCAAACACCAGCAGAGACGATCCACTGGTCCACACCTACTCTGTAAAGAAAATCATTTCTGATTTGGGACGCAATCTAAACTTTTCATAAACTTAACCTCAATATAAGCCTTATTTTTAACTCCATCATTAATAGATAAAAACTAATCATTTTGCAGCACAACTAAAAACCGTATACTGGTGACATGTCTCCATCATGCTTGTGACAATTCAAGAGGAGTCTTATGCACTCATGCAGTCTCATTTCAATAGATTTAATGATATAATGATATTTATGGTCCCACTAATGGAACCCTTTAAGTCGATTGAATGTCTGCAGCAGCAAACTCGACCCTTCAGTTGGTCTCCACCGGCTGCCCCAGCTGGCTCCATCCCTCGCCTCCGCCTCCTCTTCCTCCTCTTTTACAGCTTCCATATCTCATCAAACATCCCCAGCAGCCTTCAGTTCTTTTTCCTTTGATACTCTGTCATCTCTCTACTCTATTCCTTGTACTCATCCTGTTAAACATCCCCCGTTAACATCTCCTCCTCAGTCCCCTCACTCCTCTCTGTTCGTCACTGCGTCACTCACAGCAGGGGCGAGGCAGAGTGGGTGTTGATGTTGGTAAACTACAGCTCCACCAGGGCACAATTACAGAGACCCAGAACAGCTGTACTCAAGAAGAAACAAGTTACAAGAAAGATATTTTTAATTAAAATGTTGAAATAATTAAGATGGGCGGCCAAGGAAAACTGTTTGTTTCACGTTCTAAAGCACATAATAACCTTTCACCCTGGAGGAAAGGCAAGAGAGACTGAGAGGGCCAGAGTGGAAGAAGATAACTGGTGAAGGGGATGGATAGGAGCTGATGAGAAGGAGGCAGGACAGAGACAGTTGCTGAGACAGCAGAGACCAGACAGAAACCATCTGCTTCTTATCATTAGAACAACAGGATCTCACAAAGATGACTCGAACATGGAGTCTGATATTGTTCAAAAGGGATGGGAATCGAAAACCGGTTCTAGTTGAGAACCGATTCCCACTATTTCACTTCCTGGAATCGTCTGCCATTTTGCAAACATTCCCTTAACAATTCCAGTCGGCGTGAATGACGTCACAATACAAGTTGGATAGTTTCCGTAAGCTACTCAGCAGAGTATGTTTTCTGAGGACAAGAGGGCAACTTGGAATCCTTGCAAAGTAAATATTTCATCAAAGGGAGGAAACACTACAAACATGCAAAAGCATTTGTGCACAAAATATGCAATAACCTAAAGTTAAAGTGGTGTTTTTGGCCCGCTCCAGACTAATCAGCTAACACGGCCTATCATGTTAGCATTATTTACCACCTATTGACCTACATGTCATCTTGACAAGTTGCACATCTGACAAGGAAATTTTAATTAAAGGTTGAGCGTTCATTGAACCCTTTTAATTGACAAATGACAGAGTTATAGCTGATGGAGTTTTGACACAGTGTTGTCTCCATGATCCCACAGCAAAGGTGACTTTATGACCATGTTATATGTTAGCTTAACGTCTGTAAGACTAACTCTTCTAATGCCAGTCATTGTGATTTTGGTTCAAAACTAAAGTTAATCAGTTCCAGACGTAGATCTAATAATGACTTTTTCTATATTTCAAACAAACATGCCCAGTAGTTCAGGAGATATATTTGGCAAACACACACACTCACACAAAAGTATGTGTGAAAAGTATTAAACAGGCTTCCAGAGAAATGCATAAAAAGGCCTGAGAAACGCAAATCTTATTCATTTTGCTGTCAGTGCAAACATATTGTTTTGACACGTGTCACATTCAGATGACAATTTGTTATACTCCAACCCGTCTTATACTCTGGATATTTCCCATCAACAGGAGAAAGGAGAAGCGACTGAAACAGTAGTAATCTGATAGAATATGTGCATGTGAAAATCCCAATTTATAATATTTACTATTATTACTACTACTACTACTACTACTACTACTACTACTACTACTACTACTACTACTACTACTACTACTACTACTACTACTACTACTACTACTACTACACTGGTTTTGGAGCTACAGTTAAATTAAATCCAGTATTCCTTACAGGCAGCACATAACTGCATGATGCATTTTTCTTTTTAAAAGCACATTAGCACTTGCATGTTTAAGGTTAGCTTAAAGGTTTAAATATAAAGATAACTTCTAAGAAATAATAGTTTTCAGAATACATCACCTATCGACACTGATAACTTTCTGTTCGGGTTCTCATATAAAAGGCCACAGAAGGCTTCCTCATCTCTAAAAACAACAACTGAAGTGTGGCTTACCGTGTTTGTGTTACTACCATCAACCATGACTGTTAGGGGCGGTGGGGGTGTGACAGTGCTAGATTGGGACACAGTAGAACTGTTTGCATTTGCAAATAGATTTTCTTTGACGTAGAATGGTCGCATTATGTCAGAAAGACCTAGCATCAGACACAATTAAATAGTTTCAAATAGACCCACGAATATACGGCGGGTGCAACAGTTTCAAAAGCACGACATAACCTTAACGGGTCAGCTGATGTACAAGAGGCTGCAGGCAAGTGCTATTTTGCAGAGTTTGTTTTTGTTCCAGAAGTCTTGTAATGGGCAGCATTAAGGAGTACTAGGGGGGAAAATGAGAGAAAAGGGGAAACAAAAGGGGCGACTATAAAGACCCCTCCACTGCCAAGTCTCAAACATTTTTTCCACTGGGTTTACAGAAAGCTGTATTTCTCAGGATTAAAAGAACTCTGGCTCAGAGAAGTTATTGCAGATACCAAACAGATGGCTGACAGGACATCTGTCCTGGTGGAAAGGAACACATTTAATTCATTCATTCATCACTTTAAGCCATTCATACTTAGCTTCATTCACTCAGAAATTTCTCATACGCTGCCTTACTAATGAGTTCTGCCTAAATTTCTATTTTTAACATTTTCTCTGCAGAAAGCAGTTTTTCCCACAGAAACTAGATTCCTCATGTCTGACCCCACCACCCCCACCCCACCCCCATCCTTCCAGTTCTATTTCCTCCCTTTTGCATCTCAGCTGTGAGGCCAAATGCATGAGCCCCGATATGTGATCGTGCAACAAAACCAGCAGCAAAAACGACGTCAAGCTGAAAGTTCAAAGGAAGAAGTTAGAGCTTCTAAGTGGAAGTTTGAAATTCAGATCTGCAAAGTGAAACATGAATTAATCAGAGTCACAAAATGCACAAAAACAAGCACTCAAAATGTGATGCTATTTTGCGCATAACTCCCCCCTCCCTCCCCATCATCAGTTGCCTGTACGTGCACTTGTGACAGGACAGCTGTGCTGGTTACCATTATGATGATGGTCAGAGGTGAGCTGGTGGATGTGTAACCCTCTAACGTAGGTGTTGCACCTTCCACCGACATCTGGTCCTGACGTGAGCATATGTCGGCCCCACCCACCGAGCGCAGGAGCAGGACAACGCTGGCCGAGCAACCCATACTTCACCGTGGTGGTCTCCAAGTCCGGCCTGGTCCCGTCCAGCAGCACGGGCTTCACCTGAGCGTCACCTTCTTGTCTGTCAGAGCTGACTCCAGCTCAGCCCCTGGTCCAGCCAGAGGGGACCTTCAATCCAGGTGCAGCACCCAACGCTCCATTCGACCCGCCACTTCCCTCCAAGGCTTAACTGGGTCTTCCTGAACTGCTCGGCTCCAGACGCCAGCCCCGAATGTTGCTGTTGCTGAGCTGACACACTGGCAGCCCTACATGTCTCTCCCCCTTCCTTTTTTTCTTGCTCTCATTTTTGTCCTCTAACACACACACACACACACTGATTGCAGCTGTGTGTGGTTCAGCCCAGACAAGCTCGTCCAACAAATCACACTCAGCAATGGCTGTCAGCTGACCTGAACCAGCTGCCACACACACACACACACACACACACAACTCACACACGCACAGACTTCCGCACACTCTCAGGCCAACATATTTTTTTCTTATTTCCATTCTGCTGCTCCCTCTCTCTTTCTCTCTCCATTTGTCTCCCAATCACCAGAACTTTAAAGTCTGGGTTGTGGTTTTCTTGTGCTGAGGAACTTTTAAGGCCTTACTGTACAGATTCTGCACATCAAAGCTGATTGGATGAAGTAATCCAATGTTTTTGTAATGTTTCTCCAACATGCATGTGTTTGCTCTGGTGCTGCTGCAGGAGGGCGTCTGGCAGAGTTAGAAGCTATAGATCAGATGATGGAAAGTGTGTTTCGTTACAGATGACGCGAACATTTAAAGCCTTGCAGATAGTTAAACCGATGTGCTCCACGTATACAATCCCTCTGCATCACATCTGATGTCCCTTTAATTGCCAGAGATGTTCACTTTCACTGCTTCTTTTATTTTTTCCTCATGTCTCACTAACATCTGGTCCTGCTTTATTGTTCACGTTCTATTTTCTCTGAGCACGGCTGAACGGAAATAAATGAACATTCTCCGAAGTCAATAATTTTCATGCGTTTTACATCAATTTGGCTTTTTGGCCATCATGAGACTCCTTTCTTGTCCCTGCCAGTTGGACTTGGTGAGAAGAGACAAGAAAAATAGATTTTTAAAGAAAAACATGAATGTAACATTGTGTGAAAGCAAGCTTTGCTCTGTTTGGTTAAATAATCTCTGCCACCTTTTTTAAATAAAAATGTAAAGCCCATTGTTAAAAAGGTTTTAACTGTTTCACATCGGTCTCCAAGATGCAGCACACGAAGCTAATTTGCTCTATTGTGAATCCCAGAAAGTGCAGTTTTGCTTGCTTTTAGCACCCCCTAGAGTTCGCTATTAATTCACTCTGGTTGAACCAAAAATGAAACTTTTCTCCTTGCTTTGCTTTCCTTTTTTTAATACCTTAATTTAACAGCTTTCATTAGAGGAGTGATTCATCACTAAATCAAACAAATCAACTGTATTCGCCTTATAAAATATGCTGGAAGCAGACTCCAGCTCCACTCCACAGTTCCCTCCACCAGCAGGGAGCGGCCACCAACCGATGTAGTTATGTAGTTTTGACTTTAGAAGTGGGCGGGGGGGGGGGGGGGGGGGGGGGGATTTTTACAGTAAGTATACAAAAAATATGTATAAAACTACAGCCTAGAGGCTCTTTTATGCAATGTCAGGAATGCAAAACTGTCACATACACAGGTGGCAGGAACGGCCAGTCACATGTTAGCAAGTATCAGCAGAGCCAATAGATGAGCTTTTGGACGGTTCTAATGGGAAAGAGGCTTCAACACAAGCGGTTGTTTTCTGCTTGGTCCTAGTGCTCAACCAGTGTTTATGTAATATAGTGCAAAAAATTTTGGGACGGTAAAAAGTGCAGGGGACAAACTACATCCATGCTGCCAACTCTGTGCAAGTGTGATATTCTGGCCACAGAGGGGCGGTGGGGTCTGAGTAGGGATGGGTACCTTTGACATTTGAATCGATCCGGTACTAATTCCCGGTACCTACGAATCGATACCGGTACTTAACGGTACCAATTTTCGATACTTTTGAGTGTTTATTATTTTAATTCTCTTATATCATTAAATATATATTTTTCTCAATATATAACCATATTTGATAAATATCACGATAAATATCATACAAGTTTGTATTTTAACATCGTCCTTGTAGTTTTATAAGCTGATAATTAAACTGAAGCAAACATCTTTACTGTGAACTAAATTTACTGTGTATCTTCATTCCTTTTGCCGTCCTTTTTCATTTGATTTTTCCTACTGGGAAGTTAGAATTTCCGAGGAGAAAGCGAACGCACCATTAGCTGATAACAACGGTGGCAATGGAAGCTAACATATCAAAATAACGTTATCTTTAACAGTTTATTTAACTGCTGGAGCAGATTAAAACGATGATGCCTCACACTTAGATCGTTGTCGCTGGTTTCATCTTCACCCAATCACCCGTCGCATTTAGTAAAGTGAAGCCAAACTTTAGAGCGCGTTCATGTTCTAGTCGGAAATTCGGAGTTCCGAGGAGAAAGCGAACGCACCATTAGTGAAACGGAAGCTAACATATCAAGGTAACGTTATCTTAAACATTATATTTACCTACCGGAGCAGATTAAGATGGGGATGTCTCACTTAGATCGTTGTCTGTCGCTGGTTTCATCATCACCCAGTTACCCATCACATTTAGTGAAGTGGACCCAAGCGTTAGCGTGCGTTCTTTCTACCATGCTGCTCTGTTTACAACTCGCTCGCAGGGGCCGACGACATAACGCTCTTGCGCATGCGCAGCTGTCTTGGCAAGTTCTCGTTATGAAGGACGGGTACCGAAACGAGGCACCGTTTGAAACGACGTGAATCGGTGCTCGGTCAGTACTATGGAATTCGGTCGGTACCTTAAAAAGTACCGAATTCGGTACCCATGTCTGAGTAACATTTCATTAACCCTGTAAAGCATGGAACCTCAACTTAACAGTGCACAGGCCAAATCCGTTCACCAGACCTTTCCACTTATGCCCCCAACCTTTTGGGCCCCAACTCTAATTTAAAAATATGAAAAAGGTGCATAGTATGCCTTTAATCGTTTTTGTTTATTTGTGTGTCATATTTATTCAATGCTTGCTCTCATCAGTCTGTTCTGTAAATGCATGTTTATTTTGGATGTTTATTTTTCACTGAGTGTAACTGTGATTTTCAATTATGTTTAAACTAAAACAACATTCAAAAGTACTGCAAGCCAATCAGTAACCAAGGAACAGTTGGGTGTTTCATTTCTAAAAGGATTGATGATCTAAAACGACTCCAAACCTTTTATAGTGATTAACACGAATTCTATATTTATTTATTTATTTATTTATTTTGCATTTTGCAGCAGACTGTAATTTACATTAGGGATCGTCTTGGATCACAATTCATAATTTATGCAACACATCATGCACTCAGAGTCATGCTGCAAAATGGACTCAAGCCAATTAGCCAACTGATGCTAAAGGGATTCGATCTAACAATTTACAACATAACATATTTTTTAAGTTTGAACTCCCATGAAGTTGTTCCTTTCATGTTTAGCTGCTAGCATGACTCCTCCTTAAAGTTTTCCCCGAGTTTCCACACTTTAATCCCCCTGACTGCGGTCCATTGCAGGTAAGATGCTGACTACTCATGACTACTTCATGTAGGCCCACTTTGAAAACATACTGACATACCAAATGCCTTTAGCGTATTATGTTTACTTAGCAAAACAACACGTAAAAACAAAATCATCAACCATATATTGCCTAGAAGAATTAAATTAATCCACTCATGTGTTTTTATTTAGGCTAAGTCGTGCAAGAAACTGAAAAATATGAAATAGAAAACGAATAGAAAAACATTTAGAAAATATTATTTTCCAAAAAGATTAAATACCATGAAAATAAAATTAGCCCAATAAATGCGTTTTTTATCATCACCATCACTATAAGACACTGACATTTGCACATTCATTGCTTCCTGCAGAAGGGCAGAGGTAACCATGGAGATGTTGTCGGGTCAATATTAAGCTCATTAGTGTCAATGTCAGTACGGCACAGACCCCACCTACCACCCACATACATGCTCATTATTATAATACTTTACATTTCTTAAAATAAACAGCACAGCACACAGATAGACAAGCAAAAAGACACACAAAAGTATGAACAACCATGAGTAATCCCTGAGAGAATAAAGGCGGTTTAAACACAATGTGGAGAGAAAGACAAACACGAAGCGTGCCCACCATCAGCCCCGCCTTACCGCCTCTTCCCTTCCAGATCTAGTGCCTCTCACCAAGGGCGACTCAGTGCAACATGCCTTATAACTGCAGCCTTTACACTCACAAACCACAGAAATGGCCTTTGTTTACACTGGGATTCCACAATGGTCCTGTCATGCAAATGTGCCCACACAAACATGCCCTCCAGTTACCAGTAATGTCACCATGCCATACTGATATCTTGATCTCATTCACTCGGACTACACTTGTATAATTTTTTTGTGTTTTGTGGTAGGTTTTTTTTTGTGTGCACATTTTATCATATAGGATACTTTTAACCTGCATCGTTTCTATCGTTTTATCATATTTTAGCAATTTTTCTGAACATGTTTCCCTATGTTCTGTTAAAATACAAAATAATGATGTGTTGCTTTATTTAAAACGTTTAGTTACTTTAAATCCTGGCTTAGACACGCTATCAGGGATGGAGGGTGAGGTGTGTGTTGTTCTTCAAACACTTGTTTGGGTAAGGCACCTCAAGGACATTAGAGAAGTCTTGGTCCAGGAATGTTTGAATGAACCATGTTAGGCTGAAAATCTAAGTGTAAAAGAATCTTAGTCTAAATTATGCCAAATGACAGGCAAGCATTCACAGGGCCGACACAAAGTATTTTGTTTCTGTCTTATAACAAAAATAGTTTTTCAATAGTCTATAATATCATAAAATGCATCTTAGAGTTTGTATTATTTAAATTTGAAATGAATCAGAAAGTACAAATGAACTGGAGGAGAAAGTAGCTTCAGCCGACAGGATTTGGACTCTTATTTCCTGATATTTGGACATCTCGCCTCGGACTGGATAACGGCAATGCAACTCCGCTGACTCTGTTTTTCAACATTGATGTTTTATCTCTACAAGTAACGCTTGAAGGAGTTCTGCTGTGTGGTGGAGTTGCTAATGCTAACGGTTAGCTTCTGCCAATTAACCAAACGCAAATCAACTTGTTTTGCTCATGCTTGTGTGCTACTGGAAAGTTAACAAGCCTGAAACTCTGTAAAAAGTAAAATAAAATTAAAACATGACATCACTGGGCTGTACAGGGCAGAGTGCTCCCATCATTTGTGCAGTTAATGTGTTCCAGCTGTGGAGCCTCAGTCGTCTGGGATCCCTCTGATACTCTGCAGAACAGCAAAGTAGCATGTGTTACATTCTGCATTTGCAGAAGGTACTGAGTGAATCTGCATTTTGCATGTAGATTATATACTTAGGCAAAAGAAAATCCACTGACTTGAAAAACTTGACCAAACTAGGTCAAGAAGCGAAACCACAACCCATTAGGACTTGTGCACGCTGCCTTGTAAGCAGTTAGCTCTGCTATAGTTAGACTCCCCGTGGAGCGGGAGCCTGACTCACGGCAGCAGCATTGATGTGGCGTGGAACTCCACTGTGTTTACTTGAGAAAACAATCTCCTGTTCCCATGGTAACCGCAACATGCAGGATGCTGCCCCTGTAGAGTCCTGGGTAAACGGTAAACTGTGTTTTGTCCCTCAGAGCAGCAAGGAGGACATGGGGTCAAACATTTTGTTTTCGTTTTTTGTTGAGGACATCCCACCAGATGAAGACAAATCCATCACACGCCAACAACATGCTATCTCTTGTGACACTGACTCAAAGTACCTCTGATCTGCTGTTCTCAATAAAACCACAACATGCGGGTGCCTCGCCGCAGCACACCATCGCATACAAACAGGAAGACAGACGAGGTGTAGCGTTATTTTTTGCTCCCAGTGGTTTTTGAGATCATTTGATTAGAAGTTACTGGGAGAATGATCAAAGTCATGATTTTAAACTAATCATGTTATATAATGATCATGCTGTGGGTCAGACTGCAGACCAAACAGGAAGTCAGACTTCTCCAGTTAGACAGAGTTTCTGTTTAGTTGTTGTGGTTGTAAGCTGAGCTCCTACTTGGAGGAAATAACAGTAACAGCAGCATTTCAGCACACTGCCAACGCCCTCTAGTGCTGAAAACTCAACACAGCAGCATGTTTGGAGGCTGAGTGCCAGTCTCCTCATGCCCCACCTCTGCTCTCATAACTATTTAAGGTGAGACCTCTAGGGGGCGCCGTGTGCCGTAGATGCTATCTGCTCCGTTGGTAGTTTGGGTTTGT